ATGCTAGCTACAAAAGCAGCTCTTCTGGGTGTTCTAAAGAGAATGGGGAATACCTGGCGCTCATTAGTCAATTACATATTTGACATAAATAATGTCATAAAATCTGACATAAATAATGATTGAAAACTGACAACTACATGATGTGATTTAGATGCTTCAGGATCCAACAAATGAAAAGGCAAGAGGTATCAATTTTGCATTTAATAGAAATTTTTATGTAATGTAATTCAACTTCTATTCACTGCAACAAACCTTATAATAATTGTATTAGTAATTGGTGAATCATGTCATGATTAACACCTTTAATTGAGTACTTATTTTCCTAGTATAGCTGCAACTCTGCCTCTAAATTGGGTTCGATTTGACACTAGAGGAGAATAGGTTTACTCTTCCATCTTCTGTCTTTTATGAGTAATTGTATATTATAAATGGACAAAGAGAAAAGGAAGAGAACATGAGGTAATGGATGGTGGAAAATTTTAGCTGGTTATGACCCATGGGAACGGTGAACACTAATTTTGGAAGATGTGAATTTTCTGAAAGCATGAATAAAAACAGTATACTTTCACACAAAATGATTAGAAATGTTTATTTTAAACGCCCCCCCCAGAAAACCAAAGCAGCACAAAATCATTTTCAGAAGATGCCCTTTGATTTGGAACTTAACATGTTCTTATCTGTACAATTAACTGTCTGACTCTAGTGCAAATTATGGTCTTTCCCACTCCAAGTTTATTTCTGCAGGTTGAAATCTGTGGCAGAATCCGTATGGATGGTTTCTTGTACCCAATGGCTGACCCCTGACCTCAAAGCATCTCCAGAACTAACGGTTTAGAGGATCAAGTACGGTAAGCTTGTGACTTCATGCCAAGATTAGTTTTATTTTTTTTATTTTAATCTTCATTTCAGAGATAAACTAAAACTATCATCTTCCTAGTTTGGGCTATCCTTCTGTCAGCAAAACACATGTTGTTTTGTATTTATTTGAATGCCTTACTTTTTTTCTAAAGTACTTTTCCTACCCATTTTAAGGATAGGCAATATGCTCTCATTGAATCTTGCATCTTTCCCAACCCTCTTAATTTAAAGTGGCCTTGTGAGAGTGACAGTCAATAGGAGTAATGAAATGTCGCTTCCTGACTTGGCCCATAAGAACGCTTCTCTTTTTCACCTCCCACCCTCATTTTGCATCTGTGGCTAGGATGGAGCAGTAAGGCCCTAAAGTAAGTAGAAGGACACTAGGATCTAGTTGAGTCCATGAATGGATATATAAAAGTGATGCCCAGATTCCATGACTACAAGTAATGCTAATAAATTCTTACCATGCAAAACTGTTGAGAATTGAGAATCTCTCCACTCCAGCAGCTAGAGTTACCTTCCGTAATACATGTTCCCTGCTCCTAAATCTCATTTGATAGTGTCAAAACCAAAGTCAGATAAAGTTGGGGAAAACATGAAGCTTGTTGTCATGTAAAAAATTACAAGTTGGGATGGAGAGATGGCTCCCTGCTTAAAGTGATTTCACTGAGTGCAGTAAACATCAGGATCGAATTAGAGCACCAGAACTCATGTAAGTGCCCAAGTATGAGCGGTGAACTGCCTGCAATTCCAATGTTAGGGAGGCAAAGAGAAGAAGGGATGCTGAGATCAAGCAAGTTCACTAGACTAACCAGTCAGTGAGTTACAGGTCCAATAGAGAGATTCTGTCTTAATGAAAAAGGTGGAGTCATCAAAGAGGCATCCCATATTAACCTTGGGCCTCTTCAAGCATATGCGTGCACACATAGACACATGAACATGCATACACACATGCATGCACCTCACACACAAATATACATGAAAAAGAAAAATTACGTATTGCAATATTGGAGACCTCCAAATGAAAGTAATGAGAGACTCACTTGGTTTATAGGCACGTGGTTTGTAGAGCAGAAATGAGGATATCTGTTTTTGCAATGATTAACTATTACAGTAGGGGTTTCTAAACAGCAGGAGATTGGTTAAAAGTGATTGTCTTAAGCCATTTCAGGGAAATAGCTTAAATTTTATGATTGTTTTTTCTCGTGGATATGAGAGGCATTTATAAGAAATCACCTAAAATCAATTATATTCCACTATTCAGCCGTAAAGAAGAGCTAAATTGTGTTCTTTGCAAGAAAATGGATACGATCAGAGATTATCATATTAAGCAAAATAAGTCATACTTAGAAAGACAAATATTGCATGTTTTCTCTTACTTCCAGATCCTAGCTTTTTCATAAAATTCTGTGTACGACATGAAAGTAGAAGTTAAATTGCCTAGGAGACCGAGGGCTCTAAGGGAGTTGGGGGGGGGAGCTAACAAAGGGAAGTGGGTGGGAAAGATGAAGACGATCAATGTCCATTATGTACTTGTGTGAAACTGCCCCCCTGAGACCCAGTACTGTGCCCAATAAATATACATCAATAAAAAAAACCTGCATTCTAAACAAACCTAGGTGATTTTCCTTTATGGAAACTAGCTAGTTCTGTCTGCTTGGAGAATTCTCCTAATTTGTCTTTGTCTTATTTCTTTATTTTATTTTTATTTTATTTTGTGATGATTGCCAGGGATTTAAAAATGACAGTTTGAATGACTGTTCGGGAGACATTGCCTAACTTCTTCCTACAACCACGAGGAGACCATACCAACTGATGTTGTACATTAGTCTGTTTTCCTTTACAAACCATTTGAATATCAAATGAGCGTTTCTGAAGATTCCAGGATGTGCCAGCACAGCTCAGCTGTGGGGAGGACCTCATAGCATGAAGCATCATAACAGCAGACCAACAAAGAATAGAGAGATCACAGCTCATCATAAGGAGTCAGAGACCAAACTCACTCTTCTAACAACTCATTCCCATAGGGTTTCAGTGTCGCTCTCCAAATGACACGGGGACGTCTCATCAGGACCCACCTCTTAAAAGTCTCACTTCTCAACAACAACACACTAAGGACCAAGCTATGAAAGACAAGAAGGTTAAGGACAACTGCATATAACATATGGGGTTATATGTTTTGTTCAGCTTGCTTTGTCCAATGATAGGTCATTTAAAAGCCTATATTAAGAACATCATTGTTTGACTCCAGAGACAATCACCTGTGAAATGAGAGCCAGTGTTATACGTCTGTGTTTGGTTTTGTTGTTTAGTTCAATAAAGGCAGAAATCTTTATTGAACTTGATCACATTGCATCTCTAACAATAAGTACAGCCCCGATGACCCCATATGTAGGTAAGGTTTTTATAGCTATGCAGACACAGTCAAGAGAGGACTCTAAACACACACTGCCTGGGTTCAAATATCTACTTCTTATCTATCATCTACTAAATACCTGAATAGGTTGAACTGGTTTTGGTTGTACAGGGAAGAAAGATATCACATAATAGTTTTAAAGAGTTCTTGAGGCTAATTAAATATGATAACTAATAAACACCAGTTTGGGTTGTTGGCTTGTAGTAAGGGGCTATCTTTAACATATCTTTTTATCCCAGTTTGGTTTCCCTTTTATTTTCTTTTTTAAAAAAATTTATTAGATTAAAAAAAAAACTACCAATTCAAGTTCCCACTCCCTTCCCTCCTCCCATTCCCTCCACACACTCTCCCACCCCAACCTCATCTAAACCTCAGAGAGCGTAAGGCACATTCCTTGAAGAAGGTCCAAGGCCCTCCCTACTATATCTAGGCTGAGAAAGGTATACATTCAAAGAGACTAGGATCCCCAAAAGCCAGTACATGCAGTAGGAATGAATCCTGGTGCCACTGCCAGTGGCCCCTAAGTCTACTCCAACCATGCAACTGTCAACCCCATTCAGAAGGACTAGTTTGGTCCTATGCTTGTTCCTTCCCAGTCCTGCTGGAGTTGGTAAGCTCCTATTTGCTCTAGTAAACTGTTTCAGTGGGTGAACCCATCATGGTCATTGACCTCTTTGCTCATATTATCATTCCTTCCACTCTTCAACTGGACTTTGGGAGCTCAGTCCAGTGCTCTGATGTGGGTCTCTGCCTCTGTTTCCATCAGTTGCTGGATGAAGGTTCTATGGTGATATTTAAGATAATCGTTAGTCTGATTACAGGGCAAGTTAAGATCAGACCCTCTTTCCTCTATTGCTTAGGTCTTAGGTGGGGTCATCTTTGTGGATTCCTGGGAATTTCTCTAGGGCCAGGTTTCTGCTAACATTATAATGGCTCCATCAGTTAAGATATCTTTTTCCTTGCTTTCATCTCTGTCCTTCATCCATCTCAACTATCCCATTCCCTCAAGTAGAGGCAGGGCAATGAGAACAGGAGTATTCTAAGCAGCAAGAAGTTCCCTCCACAGTCCAGCCCAGACCACTGAAGAAGCAACACGTGACCTACCCTGCTGTGAAAGGTACTGAGCCATGTGGCTAACATAGATGAAAAATAATGGGTTAATATAAGCTACAAGAGCTAATAAGTAGCCTGCGCTAATGAGCCAATCAGTTTTATAACTATTTGATTGTTTTTCTTAGGTTTCTTTGAGGGGTTTATTAATTTCTTCCAATTTTTTGGTTGTCCTCTTCATTTCTTTAAAGGAGTTTTTTTATTTCCTCTTTAAAGGTCTCTGTCATTTTCATAAAGTTACATTTAAAGTCGTTTTCTTCTACTTCTTCTGGGTTAGGATGATCAAGTCTTCCTGTTGTGTGACCACTGGGTTCTGATGTTACCATGTTGCTTTTTAGGCCATTGGAAGAATTCTTTAATTGGCGCCTACACATCTCTTCCTTCAAATGATGCCAGCAGTATCTTTGCGCCTTTGTCCAATCTTTGCAGTGGCTTTCTAAGTGTTTGGAAGTTTTTCTTGACCTTCTCTGTACTGTCAATATCTGTCTCAGAAAGCCTCTGAGGTCTCTATAAGCCTGCTCTCCTAGTCTTCTCTCTTTGTTTGCTCTCTTGGTGCTCTCTCTTAATCCCCTTAGTGTTGTTGCAAGCTCTTGATCCCCTCAGTATTACAGCAAACTCTCAGCTCTTAGACAGTGTGTGGTTAGTAGTTTGGAGGGTCTAGTGGATGGGTTTGGGTTTGGGGGGAGCCTAGTCATAAAAAAGTCCCTGCTGGCTGGCTAGAAAAGCTGAGGGAGCTGGGGGAGAGGCCCAGGGTTTTGTCCCATTGTGGAGGTCCTAGAGAGTGGGGCATCACACCTTGTTCACTCACCTCTTAAGTCCCCTCATTATTGGAGCAAGCTGTGAGATTGCAGGAGTACTTTAATATATCTTTAACCTGATTTTATTATGTTATTTCTAGGAAAATGTAAGAATTGCCTTTAAGACTTTGCCTTCAAATGGAGCCTCCTGCTGTTTTCTCCTCTCATGGAGCAAATCCAGGTGAATTTTTAAATAGTTCTTATTTTTTATCATTAAAATATAATTGCATTATTTATCTCTTTCCTTTCTTGCTTCCAAATGCCTCTCCCACTTACCTTCTTGCTCTCTTTCAAATTCTTGACTCTTTATTTCATTGTTATTTATGCTATTGTTGATGCTGTGTTTCTAAATATATAAATTCAAACTGCTGAATACAAATAATATTATTTGTATATATATATATAATTTCAGAACTGACTACTTGCTATTGGATAACAAATTGTGGGTCCCTTCTCTGGGGAAGACTATTTCTCCTTCTGTCAGCATTTCTTAGCTGCCTGTAGTTCTTGTCTAAAGTTGGGGCCCTGTTGGTATTCCCCCTTCCATCTTAGCATGTCTATTGGTCCTGTCTTCTTTGTTCAGACATTGTTTAGGCAGCCATGTTGATGAGACTCCATGAGAGTAGTTCTGCTTACATTTCTAGGAAATATAATCAAACTGCAGTTTTCCTGGTCCCGGGTCTCTTAGAGTCATTCTGCTTTTCTTCTATGATGTTCCCTGAGCTTAAGTACAGGAGTTGTAAAATTGTGTGTGTGTGTGTGTGTGTGTGTGTGTGTGTGTATCAGTTGGTGTTGGGTGCCACATCATCTCTTGTTCTCTGCATTTTGATCAGTTGTAGTTTTCTGCAGTAGTCTCCATCTGTTGCAAAAAGCAATTTCTTTGATAAGAGGTGAGAGCTAAACTTCTCTGTAGGCATAAAGAAAGTATTTGGAATGCAGTAGAAATAAAGCAGGCTTAGTAAAGTGATAGTTGTAGGTTATCAAGACTTCAGTAGCCCTGGGTAGTTGGCTAGGTTTCCAGTACCAGGCAGGGTTTCCCTTGTATTGAGAAGAGCCTACAGTTATTGAGCTGTGGGTTACAGCCAACGCTATATGTGCCTTCATCCTTAGAGCTAATGTACCATACTGGATTTTGTTGTTGGGTAGGACTATTAGTCACCCTCTTCCCTTGGAGGGACTTGCATGGCACCTTCTAGTACCGTGAAAGCTAGTAACTTAGGGAAGAGCCTTTCAGCTCATATCTGGGTCCTATGTCAAAAGCATATGCTGTCTTTGGCAGTGGGGACTTACCTTCCATCACAGGGAGACAATGAAAAGCAACAGCAGTAGTTTATAACGTTTGGAAGTCTGTGTATACACACATATAGTTTAAGTAGTTTCCCCACCTGGGCTACAGTGGTTCTGAAGAACCATAGATCCCGAACAGAAGCCCCAAAAACAAGCACGAGAAGTCCCCTTTTGGGGCTATGCTACATCATGTTGAGGATCCTACTGTGAAAACTCCCAATGAGTGATGTAATATGAGCTTCCATTTTGTTGCAGAATGTAAGCTTCTGCCCAGTGCTTTGTTTCAAAGTCCTCAGCCACACCCACAGATGGTGTCAGAGTCTGGTGCTATAGTTACTAGTATTACAGTGAGTTTCTTTCTGGTGGACATTTTTATATTTAGTAAGTGTCAGTTGTTCTTAATGTTTGCAATTTTAGAAACTTTAAGGTCACTTTTCCTTTGTTAAATATTTCCTTGTTAAATAAAGTGGCATCTTTAACTTGAATGTATTGTTTACCAAAATTAAATAAAACAATTTTTAACTTCAATATATTGTTTACCTAATTTCCCCAAAAGGCCACCTTTTCTGTTTAAGGAAATTAATTGTTTAAAAGAAAATAGAAGAACGAGAATACCTAAAACTGATGCCATCAGTGGTAGTGCACGGCTTTAATGCCAACACTCAGGAGCTAGAAGCAGGTGGATCTCTGAGTTCAAGGACATCCTGGTTTACAGAGTGAGTGCTAGGACAGCCAGAACTACACAGAGAAACCCTGTTTTGAAAAAAACAAAAACAAAAACAAACAAAAGGAAATTTTAAAAAAGAAAATAAAAAGAATACTTAAAACCAACAAAATAAAGCATTTCTCTCCTCTGTTCTCATGAATCTCCTGAGCTTTTTGTTCTTACCTTATCTTTGGAACACAAGTCATAAAACCCATACGAATGATTCCCTTCTTATGCCTGTGTTTTCTACTTCTATTTTGTGTAAATGATGTTGCCTCTCCTTTCCATTTACTAACAATATTTCTGTTATTAATCAGAATGAGCCCTCAGATCATGTTCAGCATCAATTTAATTTAAAAGGCAAGAGATAAAGATGATGCGAATTGTTAAGCCACCATGTGTATATCTCTTACATAAAAATAACCTTAATTTCTCTGCTTGACTAGGAAAGAAATAAAAAGGATGATTGCTATAAATCAAGAAAAAAATTATAACTCGCTGGAGGTATAGAAGCTGCTGATTTAAGGTTCACATCCCTGATAACATGATATTGCTGGGATTAACATCTTTGGACAAAGCTGTGAACATAAAAATTATAGGGCTTACTCAACATTTAAATATTTTCTCTGTATCACTTACAGAAAGAAATATTTCTGTTGCCTAGTTTTGCTAAACTGTGTTTGAAATATATAGTATTTAATCAGTAAGTTTTACATAAAATTAGTGTTTTCTTGCATCAAAGGGCCACAGTAAGCTTGTCACAACACAAACAGAACCAATGAATTAGCCTCACTTTAGAGCAATGGTCGACATTATTATGCACCAGGAGTTCTCACCATTCATAACACACAGACACTTGGATACACAAACACTAAGGATACTATTCATTTCTTTTATTATCAGTTACAAGTAAGTTATTGAAAAAAATCAGGTGGCAAACAAAGCAAATACTGCATTAACTAGAAAGAAAATAAAAGCTATCTCTAAAGTGGAATCTTGAAGATGTGCAAAATAAGTTAAGTCTGCCGGTACGTAGAAACTCTAGCGGTGCTTTTATTTATGCAAAGCTGGTATGTTGTCATGCATATTTTTGCACTGCTGACTCACAGACTATACTGCATTATGCTTAGGTTATGTGTTTCTTATTTATCAAGAAAATAGACAGAGTCATCAATTAAATACAAAGAACAGGGCCAAATAGTAGCCCTGTCTCTCTCTGTTCTTCAACAAAATTGAACCTGTTTCCTTCCTCCTGTGAGGTCTTTTAACCTCAGAAATAGACAGCCAGATTTTGTTCTTGTTATTCAAATTTTCCTCTTTAAATGATTCTGTCCCTTATGTGAAGCTAGTCTTCAATATCACTGCACCCCCATATTGCCCTGGTCCCTTAACATTTCAAGCTACTTTTTCTTTGAATGCTCAGCCAAAATGACTTGCTTCCCCATGCCCCATAATAGAGGAAAATCCAAACCCCTCTATGTTCTTTTGAAAAGTAGCAAAGAGTTGTCTCCTATCCTGAAGCCCTCTCATTTTTGAGTTTTACTCAGACTTCCTGTTCTGGCCTAGTTCTTGAACTCCAACAGGAGTTTTTCCTTCCAGCTATCACCCTCTCTCAGCACCATTTCATTCCCAATTGTGCGCCACAAATGGTTCCTTGCCACCAAGAGTCGCTGTCAAAGGTTTTGTAAACAGCAGAGTCATGGAAAACCGAAAGTGGCTTTAGGCTGAAAATTGAATATCACTTCTGTGGTGGTTTTAATAGGTCTGGTTTCCATGGACCTCCTAAGGCTTGGCTAACAGGAAGTGGTACTATGAAGAGGCATGGTCTTATTGGAGTAGGCATGGCCTTGTTGGGGAGAGTGTGTCACTGTGGGGATGAGCCTTGTGGTCTCATAAATGCCCAAGGTATCCCCAGGACATAGTTGCTTCTGCTGCCTGTGAATCAAAATGTAGAACTCTTAGCTCCTTCTTCAACATCCTGTCTGCCTGCATGCCGCCATGAAGATAATGGACTAAACCTCTACAACTGTAAGCCAGCCCTAGTTAAATGGTTTCCTTTATGGGAGTTGCCCTGGTCATGATGTTTATCCTCAGCAATAGAACCCTAGGCCAACTTCTTTACTCATTCATGCATTCCACAGATATCTGATGCACTTTCCATGTGCAGAAGTTGCTCAAGAACAAAAAGATACACTAGTGGACAAGATCGAATAAGCATCTTTCTCTTTATAGTGCTTACAATCTAATTATGTTAGGCAACAAGAAAAGCAGGTAACCAACCACTTTTTTTTTTTTTTACTGTATTTAAGGCCTTACTTTGTGATATGGGATCCATATGTGACCCTGCTAAACTGGTCAAGAACCTGAGACTAGATAGGTTATTGGTCAAGAAGAAATTTGCTACTATTATTCTGCTAGTGGAACTTAGCAATGAAATGACTCTTAATGACACGTGACTATGCTTTGCTTAACCCTCATCAGAGAAGTTTTTCCTTGCAGTAGATGGAGATTAACACGGAGACCCTCTGCTGTACAGCGTGCAGAGGGAGAGAGTTAGCGCTCAATCCTAAATGGGATTGCTCCTTCCAACCTCTCCCCTTGAGCCTTGAGGCTCATCTGCTCAGAAGAGATGAAAAGACGGTAAGAGCCAATGATGACAGATGACACCAAGGAAACCTTGTCTTCCAGGTAAACAGTACGGACGCACACATGAACTCACAGAGACCGGCAGCATGTACAAGGCCTACATGGGGTCAAACCAGACAGGGTGCTAGCACTGAGAAACAGAAGGAGGCACAGGCTCCCACACCTATCCAAGAAGCTCTATGCAACTGATACCATTGGCAACAGAAAACATCAGTTTTCTATAATGGAGTGTCACCAGGTATATCAACCACACGCCAGGGTAACCCCAGGCTTGGGAGGAGTTTGCCAATACAACCCAAAACTCCACAGGGTTTTTTTGGGGGGCGAGGATTTTGTTTTATTTGCCTTTGTTTTATTTTTTTGTCTTATTGGTTGATTGCTTTGATTTTACTTTTGATGTGTGTGTGTATGTGTGTTGAGATGAAATAGTGAAACAAAGAACATAAAGTTGAGTATGTGAGAAAATGGGAAGGATCTAGGAGGATTTGGAGTACGGGAAAACATGATCAAAATATACTGTGTGAAAAAATTTAATTTTAAAAAGAAAGAAATGAGACAAATATGTGGGTTGGAAGGGAATGGTTAAGAAAAACGAGGCAGTGACAGCAAAGGGACTCTGTGGGGGAAAGGTCAACCTCAAGTAGGGGAACACATGGCAGGGGAATGGGTGGCTTATTGTTATTAAGGATTCAAAGCACAAAGAAACCCAAGGGAGAAAGCCAAGAGACACATTGGGAATTAGTGATATTGGAAGTGGTACGGCCAACACACAAGCCAGAGATGAGAGCCTGCCTGGAATGTTGGTTGTAATGAGGTAGATATGAGGCTCAGCTCTTCAATTCTCAACCACCCAGTATTTCTGTAGTTGCTATAGTCTTGGTACTTCATTATAAGGACCACACTGAGTAGAAAGAGACTGCCCCCCCAGGTCTAATCAGTTTGTAAATAGATCAAGGACTACAGACCATAATGATCTGGTTTTCTTGGAGTTTATAATGCCCTACATTGTCTCAACTCCAAGAAACTTTGCTGTCTGGTTTGATTAGAGAGAAGACAGAAGAAGCTAAGAAACAAGCAGTTTCATGGACTACCCTTAACTCAGGCAGCAAATGTAATAAATAACTCACCTACAAGAGACTAATCTCTAAGAGAACATTCATCAAAACCAGGCAGGATGACGAGTGCCTATGAACCAACCCAGCATTTTGGAGGTGGAAGCAGGAGGATCAGAAGTTCGAGACTATCCCCAGCTATATTGCAATTCTGAAGTGAGTCAAGTGACATGTAATTCTGCCTCAAAAATAAAAAACACTTTCTCACTGAAGTTACATATTTCCACCACAAGTGGGTGGGACGGGGAACTTCATATATATATACACACACATATATATGTATATATATATTTCCTCAGATGGAGAAATACGAATTGAGATGAATCATGGTGATGATCTCTGCTACCAGGGACACTGGGATAAAACTGGACTTGCTGAACATAGCAGACAATGAGGACTACTGAGAACTCAAGAACAATAGCAATGGGTTTTTGATCCTACTGTACGTATTGGCTTTGTGGGAGCCTAGGCAGTTTGGATGCTCACCTTACTAGACCTGGATGGAGGTGGGTGGTCCTTGGACTTCCCACAGGGCAGGGAACCCTGATTGCTCTTTGGGCTGACGAGGGAGGGGGACATGATTGGGGAAGCGAGGGAGAAATGGGAGGCGGCGGTGGGGAAGAAACAGAAATCTTTAATAAATAAATAAATTAAAAAACCACTCACTTCATGAGGAGGACTTATATGCACCTTGAAAATTGACAGACAACATTGGACTGTGGTAACTGCATGATATGAATGGGAACCAAGGAAATACTAGAAGCCACAAAAGCCTGATGTCAAATATAACCATCATGATACCAAGGGAAGTTGTAATATGCCACTTTTGGCTGTTTTACATATTTGTTAATTTTTTTTCAATCCCCAGTCTTGTCTTTCCTTGTCAAGTAGGTATATATTCTTATGTATTTTAAATTTGCTTTGTAAAAGAGAGTCTAGGCTCTTTTCTTTCATTGAAAAAATATTTCGTACAATTTATTCTGGTCACGGTTTCCCCTCTCTCATCTTCTCTCAGATACTTCCTGCTTCTCCACTCATCCAACTCCTTGCCTTCTTTCTCTCCCTCTTTAGAAAAGAAATAGGCAAACAACAAGAAAATGGTAAAAATAAAATAAAAAAGAAAGAAAAGAAAAGAAAAGAAAAAGCATGAGAAACACAAATGTGCCTCTGTGTGTGTGCATGCACACACACACACACACACACAAACAGGAGCATGCACATAAATAGAACACAAAATCTAATGCCAGAACTCATAACACAGAAGTTTAAGCTCTTAATCAGCTAAATTTATTCCCCATGTGAGAATTCATTGTACAGAATAATCCCAAATACTGATGAATGTCCAAATTCTCAAAATGACACTATCTTTTCTATTATCTGCTTTGTTTTCATGATTTATGTTAATTCATGATCAATTATTACATAGCATGGTGCAAACAAAATTATGGTTCATTTTAGCCATGTTGGGAACTAGGGAAATGGCTCAGCCAATAGAAGTACTTGCTATAAGTGTGAGGTACCAAAGTTTGATCCCTAAAACCTGCATAAAAATTGGGTGCTGTGGTAGATTGTAACCCTAGCATTGGGGAGGCTGAAAAAAGTGACTGCTTGTGGCTCACTGGTCAGCCAGCCTTTGCTAATAAGCATCAAGTCCCTGTAAGTGAAACTGTCTCAGAAAGCAAGATGTCCAAAGTTGACCTTTGATCTCCACACTTGTGCAAACATGTGTACACAGATAAATAAACACAGACACATGTATGTAGCATGATTCATAAGGACTCAGAGGCAGATATTATTGTTTAAGCTGAAAATCAGAGAAGCAACATAGCTCTTACCTCTATCTCAGTGGCAATCTGCCTCCAGGAGTCTCAGAATGAGACTGTCTGTGAGCTGTCTCCTCCCATATTTTAATTCCCCTCTAGGGCTGGGATTAAAGGTGTGCACCACTACCACCCAGTTTCTTTGACAAACTAGTGTGACTATTGGAATTAAAGGTGTGTTACTACTGCCTGGTCTATAAGGCTGACCAGTGGGGCTGTTTTACTCTCTGATCTTTAAGCAGGCTTTATTCATTAAAATACAAATAAAATATTACTACATTTCCCATTTTTCTAAAATAAAAATGGCTATAACTAATATAAGAAAATTATATACAGTAAGTACAATGACTATATACAATAAATACAGGCAATAAATGTGTCAACAATGTCTAGTCCATTTGCATTTGACAAATTCAAAGAAAATACTCCATTATCTATCCTATCTTGGTTAATCCAAAATGTTGTACCTAACTTACTTTCTATCATAAGTTGCTTTCTGTTTCAGGTAAATACGGAAAACTGTAACTATCTAGTCTTCAACTCCCTCAGAGACCCAAGAAGGGAATAATCTTAACTGAGTAAACAAGAAGTGTGAGCATGCAACTTCCAAAAAATGTGAAACATGGTAGAAAAAATATGGCTGCCTTGACAGTGACCCAAAGTTCCTCTGCAACATTAGGGCATCTATATTCAGCCTACAGGCCTAGCATATCTGACAGACTTTTTTATGAGGCAGGATACTCTGAAGGGCTGTCCCTCCTTGTCTTGACAATGTTTGGAAGTTACTTCCTTTTGTGTCCTGCTTGTCCAATTAGGACAGCATACTGTTTGCTTTTGAAGCAAGGACACTTTCTTGGCCAGTGGTTTACTTTTGCCACAAAGAAAGTAAACTCCATGTGGAGTCAATCTCTTTGAAGCTCACTATCTTCTCTGAAGTAGATTGGTGCTGCCAGGAGCAAATATGTCTCACTGTCATAAAAAAGAGCCCATGTTATTAAAACATCTTAAATGTCACATTCTATAGCTCTCTGGAGTGTTTGGAGATGACCTGTCTATCTAAAATATATCTTTGTTTGACCATGAAAAAATACCTATGTGACTACAAATTCAATTATAATAGGTGACTAATTACTAACCTGCATTTCCTTATTATCCTAAATAGTTTTCAATAATAACTTTTGAAGACTAGAAATTTGCATTACACTGTTAAATGAGCTTATAGGTACAATACCTTGAACAATATTAGAAAGATATGTACAGTATATTTTAACAAAATTAATCTCAATTTTGTATCAATATACAAAATTTGTATACAATATACAAAAGTCCAATTCAAGGCAAAACATTTAAAACTAGTAGTTGCCTTTTAAAAGTAGATTCAATAATCTACATTTTTATCTCATCATATCTATAGCCTCCTTTTTTCAGATTAGATTTAAAAATATACCTTTTATCCCATCATATTTATAGCCTCCCTTTTTTCTTCTCAGAGTTACACAGGAACAACAAAAGAATTTTGTGCTACCAGAGGGGAAAGACTACAGAGTGGTTAGTCTACTACCATATTTTCTGGTTTACAAAATTTGGCATTTAATAAGATACAGCCAAGTTTTATGAGCATGTTAAGTGAAGGTGTAGAATTACACAATATGGAGAATAAAGAGAAAATGTATTGGTGCGTCCTTCCTTTGAGGAAATCCTGAGATACATGGCAAGCAGCCACTCTAAAAGGCTCTTAGACATCTAAGGAGAAAGGCTCTGGATTTGTGTTAGTATTGGCATGCCACAGCATCATAAGTTCGTACCATTTACAGACTCTGTAGCTATTTTCCCTGAATGAGATATATTTTGAGCATGCAGCTAAACAATTCAGTCCCATCTACGGCTTTTATTTAACAGCGTGAATTTCCATATTGCAAACTGGATATGATGGGAATGATAAATTAGAAAACATGTTTTGCAAAACACAGATTATTGGTTATATCAGGATCAAGTCTAGTTGCCAACGCACTCATGTAGGAAATGAATGGAAGCAACTGTTGCAACAGCTGCTTTCTTTATCATAACCAAGGTAATAAGGATGAGAAGAAGCCATGAAAGCACTAGGCTAATGGCAGAGTCAATGGTGATGAGAAAACAAAGATCAGTATTAATGACAAAAATGGAAATAGGATCTTAGACGATACTTTCTACCCAAATAGAATTTTACTTCCACAATTTTTTAACTTGATGTTCATTGCTGTTGTTTTTAAATAAAGCTCACAGAGACCAAAGGTTTTTTTTTTTTTAATAACATCTCCCAATAACTTAAGGATTTTCTCTGGGACTCTATCAGTGTTTTTGCAACCAGTAAAGTTAGCCTTTGGCTACAGAACAGACTTTGTTAGCACAGCTACAAATTGACAAGAATGTTGCAATATAATTTCTTTTCCATGGCTCTTAAAACGAATACTGAGCCTTAATATTAGAGAGTGAATTGTATTCTACAACACGTCCTAATATCTCACACACAGCAACCCCCTCAGAGGCCAGCTATGCCCCCAGCACCCACTCAGTTTTTCTCTTCCCTTTCACTCACTCAGCTCATATGTTGTGACTAAGTCTTGTCTTTGCCTTTTTTAAATTTTATAAGCTTATTTCAGCCTACGTGCTGGTGTAAATAGTTAAGCCCGATTTAATTAAAATATTAAGTAAGCTTCCGGAAGGCATAAAGGAAATGATTTAGTAAAGTCCAGATATATTACATCTACCAGATTCCCTCCACCCACTTGGTACTGTGGTCAGAGAAATGCAAGGGCATATGCCTAACATGATCTGTTCTTTATAAACTCACACGGTTCATCGCCAGGCTCTCCTATGCCCTTGATGCACACATAATACCTTTTCTCTTCTTTTCCACTCTGTTATTTGACTAAGAATGGGCAGGAGGGCTGCCTCTTTATAAAGTATTTTTAACTTTATTGTTCCCATTGTTTTTGAGATGCCTTGGTTATTCCAGTCCCAAGAAATATTTCCCAGTAGGAACATAAACTCAGTGGGTAATTTCCCCAGTAACTGAAGGTGCTTTATTTAAACCAAATGTGCTTAATTGCTGCGCTCCATGCATTCATTTTTAGCCGAAGTTCAAATAGCTTATTGACATTGTCATTAATCTTAAGGTACTATTCTCATCTTTTCCGTTAATTACTCTCTGATTGAATCATAAGAAAAATCTGCCATTCTGAGTCACGCCAGTTCGATCTGAGGTTAGGTTTGTCTGTCATCCATTGTTGAGTACTTTTAAATACTTTATATTAACTCCAGGACATATTCAATTATGCTAGCTTTAGCATATTTAAGCGATGATTCTGTTTGCCACTTTAGAACACCCCATGACAGGAAGTCAAATAATTACTAGTCAGCCTCTGGAAACTCACAAGTCAGCAATGAGTGTCACAATTTGTTTATTTTATAAGATGAGCTAAAGACCATGACTTAAATTTGGATTAATCAAAAGTAAATTTTGTTGTATTAATAAAACATACTTACTAAGATAATTATTTGTCAACTCAGGTATACTGCGGTTAAAATTAATTGGCCCTATTTTAATGAGTTTCCACAAAATAAAGAGTTAAGTCCTCATTTTTAGAACTAGAGGAGTTGAAAAGGAGTGAGGCTACAAGCAGGGAAACAGTGAGACTAATTCCTTTAGAATCTGCAGGAAGGAAACTGGGAAGGTGTGCTTGCTGCTGTGTTC